GGCACTGACCACTGTGAGAGCCATCTCAGGCTCACTGCACCATTGTGGAGGTGTCTTTGATTGCTATTGTTTAAGGCAGAATCTCACTGTGTAGCCTTGGAACTCCCTGTATAGACCAGGCATACATTAAACTCATGGCAATCCTCCTGCCTCAGGTACCTTAGTGCTTGGAATATCGGGATAAGTATTTAAAGAGTTTTAGTGACACAGGAACCAGTGCCAAGGATAGTGAAGGAAAGAGACAGGGAGAACCAGCTAGAGAGAGCTCCATGACACTCACAGGGAAATTCTTGAGGAAGTACCAGTCACTAGCAGGTTAGTGCCTGTGGTGTGGAACTGCATGCAGCTTTCCACAACTTGCTGTCGCCTGTGTTTTAGGTTTTTGTTTTGTCCACTTAAAGAGTGGCACAGTCAGAAAAAGGTGTCAGGTCTCGTAGGAGCCAATGGGCTGGAAGGTGCGTTCAGTTCTCCCCTGTGTTTTAGGTGACAGTATATCCTGATGACGTCTCCCCTCCCTCCGTCCCTCCACTCCTCCCAGCTCCTCCTCACTTTCCTCTCTCCACATGCTCTCCCTTTATGTCTCTCATTAAAAACAGGCTTCTAGGGCTTCTAGAATATTTAATAATACAAGAAGACAAAGCAGACATGAAGGAAAGGAGCCCAGGGTACAGGAAACAACATTTAATGTCCTGTAAGTCCCAGGTTACTGTGACCCTTTCAACATAGCTCATAAAGGGACATAGGCTGAACCAGGGCTCAGGGAGGGAGGGCGTGGACACACGAGCCACTGCTCACAGCGTCTGCCTTCCTTCAGGATTACACCAGCGGAGCCATGCTCACTGGGGAGCTCAAGAAGACGCTCATTGACGTCCTTCAGCCCCTGGTTGCAGAGCACCAGGCCCGACGCAAGGCGGTCACCGAGGAGACCGTGAAGGAGTTCATGGCGCCCCGGCAGCTGTCTTTCCACTTCCAGTAATGTCTCTTTTCTGTGACACACCTGTCCGTGATTCCACCCTGTCAAATCAAGTCACACTCCCAATAGGCTTCTGTCACATGGTAATTCCTGGACCTGGGTCTCCGCACTTGTGCATTCTGGATGCTGTTTCTTCTGTGATGTCTCTCCATCTGTTGTCTGCTAAGGGTGATCAGGTGACGCTAATGTTGTGTGGTCAGATAGAAACCCAGCCGGGAATCTCCCACAAAGAGCCTAGTTGTGATGCCTCCCTGGCCCACAGAGGATGTCCACCTAGCGGCCTAGGGCTCCAGAACAAATTCTAAAATGTATTCCAGGTTTTTTTTTAAGTGTGTGTGCTCAGCTGACCATGGTGGTACACACTTTATAATCTCCGTATTCGGGAAGCTAAGACACAAGTTCTGAGCCAGCCTGCTACCCAGCAAGATCCTGTAGTAATGTGTGTTTAGTTCTGCTTCTATGGAGTCAGAATCTCATTACTGTAAAACTGAAAACTGCTGGGAAAACTGACAAGGCGATGTGTGGTGGGAGATGCTGCTGCTCCAGCCCACCACACACACACACACACACATACACACACACACTCTTACATGTAAGACGTACAAGCTCTGCTTTATACTGGGCTAGGAAGTCCTCAGCTTTGTCCTGGAGGTGTAGCTCAGTAGCAACGCACTTGCCTAGCATGCATGATGCCCTGGCCTCAGGCTTCTGCACCACAAAGCTGGGTGGATAATTGAGTTCTTTGCTTTTAACACTGATTATAGGCCAGGCTGGGACATTTCTACTAACCTGAGTCTTGTGGGTGAACCTTGAGGCTGAGGTAACTAAACTCCGGATCACGCGTGCCGTCCACTCCAGAATCATGCTTGTTACCCTTAGTATACTAACTTTCCCACAGATGGCCCAAGACTCCACCTTGTAAAGCCCAGCGGTGGCTTCTCCCGACCACCAGACTCTAAGGATGGTCTGTTACCTTTGCAGATCCTTTTGCTTTGACACTTGACTGAAGTGGAGGGCAGGCCAGAACAGTGTGTTGGCCATGCCTCAGGCCGGTGGACCATAGCTAGACAGAAAAGAACAGCAGCCATCCAGGCCCCAGCAGTCTACCTCTGGGCTGGCTGCGTGTAATGAGCCACCCCTCAGAGTCTTGGAAAAGCAGAAGCCGTATCTCAGGGAAAGTCCCTGGTTGAAGTGTCTGTCCTCTGAAGACACAAGGGCCACTCTGAGTGTTCTGTCCTTGCATCATTTCCAGGCAAAAAATAATAAACGTTGTTGTGCTCCTGTCCCTGTCGTTGTCTGTCCAGGCAGGCTGCAGAGGAACGTGGACTTGCTGCAGGCCTGTGCACTGCCCCTGCTGCTTAGGCTGTAGCTGCTCCCCGTGCTGGGAAATGCAGAGTTGTGGAATCCCAGGTGCTTAGGCTTCTAGGATCATTGTGTGAGGGCCACTGTCCTGAGAAGCCACCTCCTTCCCAAGATCACTTGTCCACCTTGTTTGACAGTCTATCAGCCTAACAAGGGTGTGTGCATGTGATGTTCGTTTGCAGCAAGCTGGGGACTCAGGGAGGTGCTGGAGTAAGGGGCACAGGCTTGAGCTGGGCCAGCAATGCTGGGGAGACCCAGCCATAATGGAACCTGGCTTCACCTCACCCACCTGTCCTCATTTGCAAATAGGCAAACATGACTTGTCCAAGGCCAGACAGTGAATTTGTTACTGAGCAGTCTGTTCTGACTTAGTCTGGAGAACACTGAGGTTTGCACCCTGGGAAGCCAAGCGCTTGGACTCAGAGCCTATGAGAGTGTCAGAGTGTGGCATGAAGTTCACACGGGCTCCTCTCGGGGCCCCATCTCACTAGACTGACCACACTCCCAGGCCAGCACCTCACCTAGCTGTCTGTGGCCAAAGGTGCCGAAGCATACAGAGGACTGCCTTGCTGTCTCCCTGTGATCCACTCAGAATGATGCCCTGGTGTTGAAGTGCCCTTGCATCCATGGAATGTTCTGGTGTGCAGATGAGGGGAGAGACATTGCTGCCATTGTCGACCAGTCAGAGCATCTGATGGCTCAGATGGGGTCCTGGGCCCAGGAAGGAGTGAGTGAGTGCCCAGGCCATCCCATCCCCCATCAGCCACAGCTGGGTGAGACATTTGTCCTCTTGGGAGCTCCAGCTCCTCCATGTAAGAATGCATAGAGGAGATGTCTAAGGCTGCTGCTCGTCAGAGTGAGGGTAGCTTCAGGTCTGCAACATCCACTGCCACATTTGCCAAAGCCCTGTGGTCTCTCTGAGCTCCCTGAGAGGTTCCGAAGGCTATTTAATGGGGGGTAGCCTGGGAATAGTGTCCAGTACCAAATGGTTCAGAGAATTCCAGCAAGAACAGCCTTCATTCTAAGGGGTGTCCGTATCACACAGATGGGGTGTGAGCCCCTCTGACAGGAACATATGAGAACTCCCATCCAGAACAGTAAATATATCCAGGGCTAAGCAGGCCTGGGCAAAACACTATTGGCCCTTCTCCTGGGCCATAGGTCTGCAGCCAGCACACACTGTGGGGACACTCAAGGGCAGCTTTTAGCTCTCACTAAATAGGACAACTATAGCCTTGATTTTTCTTCTTGAAGTAGGCCTGTGGGGAGACCAGCTCTTCTCCAGTTACTCAGGGGCAGCCAGCTCCTTCTCCCTGACTCTGCTGCTTCTGGCGGCAGGAGTGACCCAGGGATGGTAACTTTATACCTGAAATCCTTGCACATGAGAGGCTGAGGCAGGAAGACAATGAGAATGTGAAGCCAGCCTAGGCTACACAGTGAGCTCCAGGCTCTTGGAGACCTGGGCTAGGCTAGCAGCTCAGCAGTTGGGGTCAGCACGAACCAGAGCACAGCCCTGGCCCCTGCGAATACAGAACATGACAGCCAAGAGTCTGAGCTCACCTCCCACAACAGAATGAATGACATGTCAGGTGTGGTGTCTCACATCCTTAACTTCAGCCCTTAGGAGGCAGGAACAGACAGATGTCTGAGTTTGAGGCCATCCTGGTCTACATAGCATGTTCCAGGCCAGTCAAGACTATATAATGAGACCCTGTCTAAAAAAAGTTAAAACTTAAAAATAAAACACAAGGAATGAGTGGGCGCCAGTGGACCTGACAGAGTCAGGGTTGGTGACTCTGGAGATATTGTATTAGCTGTCCTTTTCCAGGCACTGGCCCAGAATGTCCCAGCATCTTTACCTCCCTAAGCTATGTCAACTTTGAAGTTCAGAAATTAAAACCACAGGGCTTCAGGACTGCAATTCAGGAGACGCGGACGTGCTAAGTCCCTGTTCGAAGCATGAGGGCAGGGTGGGAGCATGTGAGCAAACTATCTCTTAAATCTACAAAGTAACTGGAACCGTTTAGAGATGCCTCACTGGGACTGGAAGAGAACACGAAGGCTAGGCAGACGACATGACCCAAAGGAGGTAAAGAGAGTGTTTTGCAGAAGTCCATCACAGCTGTGTCTGTGTATCTGTATACCCCTCCTAGATGTCTTCAGAGGATGGCTGGACAGCCGTCCCTCCAGGCGGCAGCTGGAGACATGCCCAGGTCCTGAAGTCCTGCCCCTGTAACCTCCCGACCCATCTGGAAGCTCTCTGGCCTTCATCATAACCAGGACCTCACTGCAAGGCTTCTGTTCCCTTGTTTACCTGAAACTGAAAGGTCCTGGGTAACTCCCAGTCTGAGGACTGGACAGACAAGCAACCAGCCAGGTAGCCAGGGTCCGTGGGAGGAGCCCAGAGTGCCCAGGTAATGAGACCAGAGAAGAGGCCCAGGAGATGACATCACACAGACAGAAGGAGATTTGCAGACAAGGGCCTTGTATACGAGATCTGATGTCCAAGGACCTGCATGACAAGAGTTGACGCAGAAACAGATTTTGTCCCTTCTAGAAAATGGAAAGATTCACTGGACCACACACGCAAAACAAAACAAAAAAACCTTGAAGGACATTTGGTGCATACATGGCTTTGCATCTGAGCATGCACAGCTAAAGCAGGTATCAGCCAGCTCTACCACAAGACTGTTCCATGAAGACCCAGTGAGTGGGCTCACTATACTCCAGCCTGACTCTCAGTGGTCTATCATTGGAAGCCATAGTGCGCCTGGAGAGGGAGGCTGGGACCTCAGAAGCACAGGCTAATCCTACTATGTGCCTGAGGGTAGACCCAATCCTACCCTGCCCTTCAAGACATAGGCTCATAAAACCTTTGTAAGGTACCCAGCACCTTCCCATCCTTGGCGCAGAGTTCCAGCCAGGTGTTTGGCCTGGTTATGACACGGAGAAGAACCACACAGCCCAGAGAGTGGAAGAAGTAAAGCCGGCCCAAGGGCTGTGCAGGGTTTCACCATGACCCTCTACATAGCTAGCATCTATCCACCCAGGTAAGAACTCTGGTCCATCTTAGCCACCAAGACCAAGGCTCCACACCTCCTCTCCCTCCATGAGCAGACAGGCTTCATGAGGACACCAGATGAGCACAAGGTAGGAGGGCCAGGGCCCCACAGACCACAGAGCGACACAGCTGAGCAACCACAGAAACATTTATTAACAGCCACTCCTGAACCAGGTTCCAGGATCTTCGTGTGGCCCGCACAGCACCTACAGGCAGTGTGGGTATGTGACGGTGATGCCCTTCACCAATTCCTCAGGCAATGAGAACGGTGGGCCCTCCGAGGACAGGGAACCAGCCCAGCCTGTGCCAGATGGCTCAGCTTGCTGTCTGGTCCCTAGCCTGCCTCTAAGGGGCATTCACATTGTGAATCGGTGGATGCTAAGTGGAACTGGGGTTAGAGGTTGGCCCAGCACCCAGCGGGGCTGGCGAGGGTATGCTCTGAAATCGGTGCGGTCATGACAGTACAAGCAGGAATGAACAGTTGTTCCGTGAAAAATGACTCCAAGTGACACATGGTCTCATCAAGGAGACCCATACAATCCTCACTTGTAACTCCCAAGCAGATGGCAGATCAACTCCCTGACTGTGGTCAGCAGCTAGGCTGGCCAAGCTCAGGCCTCCCATAAGTCACGGCACAGAAGGCCCTCTGCTGTTCCGGTGACAACTCTGTGGGGTCCTGAGCCTACCCATGTGCCCCTTTGCCTCCAGCTGCTGTGTGACGTGGATGCTGCTGACCGGTGCCTATGTAAGCAGGCTCTGAGTGAGCCTCAGCACAGCCTCATATGCCACAAAGACCACCATGTTGACAGGAAAGGCACGGCAGCAGTTGAGTGCCAGTCCCTTGAAGAGCACCCTGGGACCCTCCTCCCGCACGCTGGTCACCACACAGTGCAGGAGGCCCCGGTAGCGCTGCTGGCCCTGCCCATCCGCCTGCAGGCGTGACTTGATCACATCCATGGGGGTAGCCACAGCCCAGGCCAGGACTCCAGCGCAGCCTCCAGCCACCAGCACGCCTAGGACATCTGCAGGGGAGACAGTGAGAGATACCATACTGTAAGCTTCTTGGAGTCAGGACCCAGCCCAGGGAAACTCAGAGTCAAGATAAACCCCTCTAGCACAGAGTCACTGTGTGGCCTTGAATAGTCACACACTCCCCTCAGAAAACCCTACTTGAAAAATGAGGCAGGTAGAGAAGTCTGCTTAGCTTGAGTGAAGCCTGAGAGGCCACAAGTACAAGCATGCCTGGGTTAAAGATATGCTTCTATGATGATTCCCCTCCCAGCCCCCATGCCACGGGGTCAACCCCACCCACCCTCTGCCTGTCACTCACCTGGCTGGCTCTGGCCAGCAGGAGTGAGCCACTCGCAGAGCATAGCATAGGAAAGAAAGTAGGTGGCAAAGGAGTGACCTTCCCGAAGGAGCAGAGCCGAGCTGCCCTTGTAGAGTCCCCGCAGCCCCTCCTCTCGGGCCACTGTGACTAAACAGTGCAGCGGCCCACTGTACTTAGGCCTGGGCTCCAGGCAAGCAGCAGATGCGGGACACAAAGCGGGAGCCACAGATGTCCAGGAGGCCGACGGCCGCCGCTGCTGCGTCTGAGCTTGGGCCTGTGTCTGCAGGCGGACTTTGGCCACCTCAGTGGGTGACGTCAGGAACACCTAGAACAAGATGGAAAGAGAGTAGGACACGCCTACAGCCTGCCCACACACTCTAGGACCCAGCCTTCCACTGATTGGCTCTGACCACCAGGGCGGCGCTGAGAGCCCAGACCTTAAGACACTGCTAACTGGTCCCAGGGGTTTGATGATGCTGATTTCAAAGCCATTTCAGCCCAGTTAAGGCCAAAGCCAAGGCCTTCTGCTTCTCTCCTATCTGAGAGCACTGGCTCAACACCTACCGGGTGCTGAGTGAATGTGACTACGTTCAAGACTGCAATCGACACAGTAGTTTGCAATGAAGTCATGTTGCTTAAACAAGGCATGGCGCTCACTGGGAGACTCAGATGGATCAGGTCTTTCCACCCCTAGCCTTACCTCTCACCCACCTCTTACAGATGAGATGGCAGCTCAGAGGGGCTGAAGCCTGGCTGACTAGGCTTATCGGCCTTTGGTCTCTGCACTGTGTACAGTGGATATACTTAGCCTCTCAGCCCGTGGGGCTCTAAGAATTGAGGACTTATCCACAGTCCATCCTGGCACTTGCCTGCCGTGTTCCCATCTGTGGTGCCTGATGCTCCATCTCCACTGGGAATGAGGGATGCCAAGTGCCCATGGTAACCCTGGGTGCTGTTCAGGCATTTGGTGGCCACCCTGACAATGGAGCTCTCCCAGCTGGAAGGTCACAGGCACGTGAGTGCTAACTCTCTGGGTCCTCACACTGACAGAGAGGGCTATCACCTCCTCTCCACTAAAGTGTACTGGGAGGGAGTCTAGCCCATCCCAGGCAGGATTCCAGTTCCTCTCCATAGTCCCCATGGCCTGCAGGGTCTACCTTCTCAGAGCCTCAGTCTTGACACCTGCTGGGAGGTATGATTCAGACTCCCTGCGTGTCTCTGATACCCTTCCACCCTCAACTGCCTCCACTCACCCGGACAAGACCAGAGGCGCATCCTGACAGTGTGATATCAGCCTTAGTGGGCTTGGCGTCCTTGCTGCCGTACCGGAAGCGGCAAATATGAGCCAGGCAGTGGTGGTAGGTACCAAAAGATACAGACGACACCAGGGACACTGTGCACACGGGCAGCGAGAGGCCCCTGTAGAAGCCCCACACCTGAGGGATGGAGATCAAGTTAAGGACAGGGCCCAGCCAAGAGAAAACGCCCTGGCGCTGAGACCACCCCGCCCCAGCCAGTGCCTCCACACCTGGGGGTTGGGGGGAGGGTCTCAGGACTTGGCGATGTTTGAGGTCGGGTGAGGGGGTTGAAGAGACAACTGCCTGGCCATGATGATGGAACCAGCGTGATGTTCAGCTAACCCCTGCCTGCACCAAGCCCCAAGTTCACTTATATAGTGTCCTTAAGACCTTCTGGATGGGCTCCTTCCAGGCCTTCAGAAGTGTAGTTCCCCCTATGTCCACTCCCCTGGAGACAGGGACGTGGGTCTTCATCCTATAAATATCCCTGGTGCTCAAGCTTTGAGCCTCAGAGGGATCACTGGACCGGATACAGTCACTGTGCCATCAGGCCAGGGCTGAAGGGGAAGGGCATAGCTAGCAAGTGCCACTGTATCATCGGGGCTCCAGTCCTACCCGCTCTTGACGATATATGTCCCGGATGCAGTGCCAGATGCTGGTGTACTTGGCCTCAGTCTGGATTCTGACCTGCAGGAGAAGAAGAAGACTTCAGGAAGGGCTGGCCCTGGGCCTGGGGTAAAGTCACTAGAAGCCTCAGCTCTGCCCCTTTATGGTGACACATGCTGCTGTAGACTGAGTGGGGACAGCGACCCCTTCTAGAATAAGGGACAGGATAAGAGAGAGAGTGACAGTCCCAAAGGCCATAGGGAACAATCAATAGTATTAGTGTAAGGACCCGGGGGTGGGGGGAGTGGGGGAGGCTAGGTCCTGTTAACATCCAGAGCTGGGTACCAGAGGCACTGAGCACCATCTAAACCAAGGCAGGTCCTTTGCTGTACCTTCACAGTATCCAGAGGGTAGCCCACAGCAACACCGCAGACTCCTGCAAGGCAATCAGAAGAACCCATGAAGCGGCAGGAGGTGGCCCTGACAGCAGTGAGAGCCTATCCATCCCAAGGAACGAAGAAGGTGGCCTCAGGCAAGCCCCTCTCCCTCACCCCCAGCTGACCTCTAGCTGGCCCTGCCTGGGCTCCTCCTCTCGGCAGCCTTTGTTTTGCAGGTGAGAAAACTGAGGCTCAGGATACACCTACCAAGCTTACTAGACACTCCCTACCCTGGCCCAACAGTGCCTATGCCCACTGCCCATGCCAAGGACATTCCTCAGCCTCCTCTCTGACATCACATTTTAGGAGAACACCTGGCTCCACTCTGGCTGACCCTTCTCTGAACCAGGTAAACTTTGCCCTCAAGCCTCAGCCTGTGCAGGGTTGTGCGGAAGCCAGGCAGGACACCCACACATCCCAGGACTTGGGGAAAGGCCTGAACAAAGGCTGAGGGAGCAGCCCAGACCCCTTCCCAGGTCATTGCCTGGAACTAAAGGTAGATGTGAGACAGTGTCCACCGCGGCTGTGGTCTGCACAGACTCCCCCAGAGGCCCACGTGTGGGAGGTGGCAGAGCCTGCAGGAGGTCCTTCAGCCACTGGGGGCGGGGGGTCATGTCTCAGAGGGGATTATGAAATTGCAACTCTCTGCCTTTTGGCTTTCTGTACAACATTGTCCTCTAAGCACCCACGCAGACCAGGCAGTAGGCCACCCAGTGGTCAGAGCCTCAGGAACAGCCCACCAAGTAACCATTCCCCAGCATGAGGGGGTTGGTTAACCTGAAGACAGTGGACACGGCTGCTGACTCGTCTTGCAGAGAGGCTGGTAGTACCCACCCTGGCTTTGGACCAGGAGATCTACGATGCCTTTCTTGCCCCCTGGGACCGTGGCCTCCACATCTACAGCCGGTACAACCTTGAGAAAACTCAGGGGCCAATGAAATGCTTGGGCTTTCTACCCATGAGCGAGGAAACTAAGGGTGCCCAGGATGAGACGACCCATGGATGAGTAGAAGAATGAATTCCTAGGGGAAGGGTGTAGAGCAAGTACCTGACAGGAGGCTTAGATAGAACAGCCTTCTACATCTTTCAAACACTTTACCAACTCCTATCCATCCCTCAAAGCCCTCCTCTCTTAGCCCACCTTACTGTACCTCTGTCCTTCCAGAAACATGTCAATCGGGATCTGTGTCATATGGCCTTGTTGCTATGCCCCCCATTCCATGGCCACCTCTAGATCTAAAGTTCTTCAAGGAAAAGCTCAGGTCCGAATCCCTAGGACCAGGGATCCAAGCCCAGCACAGAGCAAGGATGCCCTGACTAAGATCTTGCCTGCGCCTATAGGGAGGATGTGACTTCCTGTGAGGCTAACGCTCAAGGGAACAGCCAGCCTCAGAATGGTGTAGGTCAAGCCCTGGGCAGCCCAGGCTGGGCCAGGAGCCAGTCCTCCCTGAAGCTGGAACTGTCTTTCCTTCCTAGCCTCCAGGCTGTTCCCAGCAGTGAGAAAGAGCCACCCACAGCTATTTCACAATAGCTGCAGGGCCAAGGGTGCCTCACTCAAAATAGTTACACAGCCTGAGGATCAAAGGTACATGGAAGTCCAGCGGGCAGCCACCTCTCTCCTCTGACATCTCTCCCCAGAGGGAGATAGTTTCAGCCGCAGGGGGTTAGACATTAGCATCAGGCCTCAGTGGGCCAGAGAACCATCTATCTGGGCCTGTTCTGTACATCTAGCTCCCGCTCCCTGCAAACAGAGCTCCTGGGTACAGAGTTCTTCCCTGGAATCTTCTGTCTCTCCCCACAACTCACTCGCCCACACCCAGGACCCCAACCATCTCACCCCACAGGGTCAAGATCCTGCTCCCAAGCAGGGTATCTCTAGACTGGCTCAGAATCCAGCCTGATCTTCAAGACCATACCAGGGGTCTGCTCAAACCCTGACTGCCTAGGGCTCCCTCCCACTCACCACACATTGACACAAAAGCACCGCCCCTCAACTCTCCCCAACCCCTGCGCCCCTCCAAGTCTTGTACCTCCAATGGCCCCAGCAACAAAATCCATGGACAGAGTGAAAAACTGAGAAGAGCTCTGGTCTTGCTGTCTGTGCCACACTGGCCAGCGCCTACAAATCCGGCAGATCTTAAATACCTGTGAGCAGAGGCGGAGATAGGGCTGTTTAACAGGCTATTTTGATGCCCACACTCACATGCCCCACAAGGTCCGTGGTGCCAATGACCCCGAGCATCAGGAAAGCATGTGAGAGGTCATGGGAGGTGGCCAACTCCCAGTCCTATGTCTACCTCTATTCCCAGATTCAGACTATGCTGGGCTTCTGACTGCTTATGGGGACAGCATACACAGTGGCCCCTCAGATATGTACCCCACTCTACAGTTCACCTCCAGTCCTAAAAGGGAGGGAAGGCAAAGGCCTGTTCTAACCATGGAACGAACCATCAAAACCCCAAAGGAGACTTGCCTGAGGCGGCCACTATCTTAGAGTCAATCTGATGACCACCAGCCCATGAAGGAAGTGCAACGTTGTCTCTATGGCTATCACTATTAGTCCAGTTCCGGGCCTCAGAGACACAGGCTGTGGCCCTACAGGGGGCCTTAGGGCCAGAGAGCTACCAAATGAAGAGAAGGGACACGTTAACATGGAACACTCAGCAGTCCTGTCTGAATGGCCCTCGGGGTAGGGCATCGGAGGCCACGTGTCCACCTGTTTTTCTGTTCTCAGTAGGCTGGCCTTGAACAGGCTAGTTTCAAACTAGGGATGACCCTTCACCCCGACACTTTGTCTACTTTTAGACAAGTCATCAGTGGCTGCCACAACACAGGGCAGAGGGCAGAAGGGGCCAGGAAGTAGCCTGTCCAAGGCCAACCTTGATGTCCATCCTGGCCTGTAGAGGGGCATGGCTCAGCATCTGGTTGGAAGTTGAGACAGCCACTTGGCATTTAAGACAAGGGTTCCCTATGCCTCTGCTTCTGTACCCACAAAATGTGTGTGCACACAGCAGGCTCCAGCTGGATCCCTGCAGAAGTGCCAGCCAAATTCATTAACAAAAGATGGAGAGGGAGACGATGACTCTGCTCTGGAGAGGCAGCTGAGCCAGATGTTACACTCAAGCTGGGACCTCGGAAAATGAGGGAACCTAAAACACACTGTCCACTTGAGAGGACCAGGCCCCTTCAGTCCCACGTTGCCAGTGGTTAGGGCATCCACCCTGACACTGGGGCCCAAGACCCCAGTTACCATGGATACCTTTCTCTCTCTGCCGGTCTTGGTGTCTATCCTCAACTATCGCAGTCAGGACCAGTTGGCACTGTCCACCTACACTTCCCTAACTGTGTCATCGTTCCTGGACAGCAGCCCACCTGTCCAGGCTCCTGATGCATGCAACCAACACATGCCAGGTGCCAAAGCGTGGGACACCTCAGTAAACACAACAACCTAGTCCCTGCCCTCGAGGCCTGATGTGTTGGAAGTGAGACAGAGAGCCCTTGACAACCAGGAAGAGCCCAAGGGTGATTGCAAGGACTGGTGTGGTCAGCGGCTGCTCCCAGCTAGGCATGGCCATTGTTACGAAGCAGAGCAGCTGTGACAACCCACAGGAGACTATCAGGAGAGCAGGCCTAGTAGCGTCCTTCATGATGCAGGAGGCTCATGAGTCTCTTGAGCACACAATGGACTGTCACATCGCCTCAATTTACAAGTCAGATTTATTAGCAGTGATTTGCCAAATAATCCTGATTTTGCCTGCTGCTGTGGTCATATGCAATCACAGATTCTTTTATTCCATTCTTGGTTAATACACACACACACACACACACACACACTACACTTAAAAAATAGGCTGAAAGAGCTGGAGAGATGGCTCAGTGGTTAAGAGCACTGACTGCTCCTCCAGAAGTCCTGAGTTCAATTCCCAGCAACCACATTGTGGCTCACAACCATCTGTAATGGGATCCGATGCCCTCTTCTGGTGTGTCTGAAGACAGCTACAGTGTACTCATAAGGGGGGGGCTCATTAAAAGGGAAGGCTGAGAAAAGATGATGAAGAGACACCAGAATTCAGCTTTCCTGAAGTCAATAGAGACCTCATGAGGGCATAGGTGAAAGTCTGCAGAGACTGGATAAGTCTTAGGAGATGAAGGTATAGACACAGTAGGTACAGGTCACAGGAAGACTCAGTTTGAAGTGGGCTGTGTCACTGGCAGAGGATGCAGCACTCGAGCTGAAGCAGGGGACAGAGGTTGAGTCCTCACTCTGGCAAAATTCCTGCGGAAAAGGCTGGGGCCAAGTGACAGGCCACTCAGTCACCTGCCCCAGTCTAGACTTGGGTGCCTCTTTAAGAGTTCCAGGTGAAGGGTCCCATCTTGTATAGTTGATAAGTTCATGAGTCTGGTGTTCCTGGAGTGATTAGGTAGATCCTCCACAAGCACCATTCATAAACAGCACAAATAAATGATCAGTTTGTGGTTCCTGGTGTGTTAGCAGGTGGTGTTTACCTGTGTAAGAATGAGGTGGAATCATTCTTTCTCAGAACTTAAACTCAAAATAGAGCGTGGTAATTTGAATGAGAATGGACCCCATGACTCATGTATTGGAATGCTTAATCACCAGGGAGTGTTGTGTTTGAAATGATTAAAAGGATCAGGAGGTGTGGCCTTGTTTGTAGGCTTTGAGGTTTCAAAAGCCCATGCAAAGCCCAGAGAGTGCTCCCTCTTTCTCTGTCTCTCTGTATCTCTGTTTCTCTGTATCTCTCTGTCTTTGTGTATGTCTGTCTCTCTTTTTGTCTCTCTCTGTGTCTCTCCTCTCTGTCTTTCTGTCTGTCTCTGTCTGTCTTTCTTGTCTGTCTCTGTCTTTCTGTCTCTTCTGTCTCTCTCAGTCTCTGTCTGTCTCTCTGTGTCTCTGTCTCTCTATATCTGTCTTTCTGTATCTCTGTCTCTCTTTTCTGTCTCTGTTTGTCTCTTTGTATCTCTCTGTCTCTATCTCTGTCTTTCTGTCTCTCTCGTCTGTCTTTCAGTCTCTCTGTGAGTGTCTCTCTCTGTCTCTCTCCCCCCTACACCTATGGATCATGCTGTAGCTCTCAGTTACTCTTCCAGCACCATGTCTGTTTGTGTGCCACCACAGTCACCATGATAATGGACTAGACCTCTGAAACTATAAGCAAACACCAAATTAAATGTTTTTGTTTGTTTGTTTGTTTGAAATAAGCACTGCCTTAGTCCCTGTGTCTCTTCACAGCAATAGAACAGTAGCCAAGACATAAAGTAACTCCAGTCTAGGTTCTAACTAAGCAGCCTGCAATCTGTTATGCCATGTAACAGAGTTACTTCAAGAGACACAGGTAGGCTGACAAGAAGCCTCAATGAATAAAGGTGCCTGTCTGTTAACAAGCCTAACAACCTGAGTTTGATCTCAGGGACCCACATACTGGAGGAAGGAGAGAGCTACTCCTCAAGTTGTTCTCTAACTTCAATGAATGTGTGCATGTACACACCCTTAACACACACCTTTAATCCCAAACAATGAAAGTAAAGTTAGTTTGTAGAAGGAAGCACCCATGTTTGAAAGTGACGTCTAATTGAGGGGCAGACAAAGTGATGAATCAGAGAAAGATTTGACAGAATGAGTCAGAGATAGGATATGCCCAATTCTCACAAGAACAGAAAGGATAGAGAGGCTATTTAAGAGCAGTGCAGGGAGAAAACGTGTGTGTGGCAGTTTTGCCAGGATGGTTTTGCAGAGACAGGCTGCAGGTAAAGACAGAACAAGCCAGAGAATAAAAAGGAGTCAGAAGATTAGAACAAATTGCCAGAGTTAGTTTGAGGCCAAACAGAGCAATTCAGTGAGAAGGCCAGAGAAGCCAGATTGAATCAGTCAATTTGGAGAGGAGTTTTAAGCCAGAAGAACTAAGTTGAACCAGACAGTCAGCGTTCAGAAAGAACTGAAAAGGGTGAGGCTATTCAGCAGTAAGACTGAGATAACAATCACATCTGGTGAATAACAGTTACTTTTACAAGACAGAGTGAGACTTCCCAGCAGCATAAATGCCTTTTGAGTTTCTTGTAAATAATCCCAATAAACGTATGGATTCATCAATCTGTATTTGAGTGGAATTCTTTCTTTGGTCTTTTGTTGGGGGGGGGGTCTGGGAATCACTGCATAAACCACTCCAACACCAGCCTAAGTCAAATAGGGATGGTTTTTTTTTTTTTTTAAACTTTTTTTCTTTTTAGAAGTTTTATTTATTTTATGTATGCAAATACACTGCAGCTGTCTTCAGACACACCAGAAGAGGGCATCAGACCCCATTACAGATGGCTATGAGCCACCATGTGGGTGCTGGGAATTGAACTCAGGAACTCTGGAAGAACAGTCAGTTCTCTTAACCGCTGAGCTATCTCTCCAGCCCCGGGATGGTTTATTGAACGCCACATCCCAAAACTGATTGATCAGGGCCACAGGTCAGATTCGGAGGCTGACTGTAATGTTGAGTCAAGATCCTATAGAGCTTTTTAAGCCCGAGATCCACAAACGTCTGTGCCAAGTTATTCCACCAATCAGGGTTTAGGGATAGGGGATTTCCTTAGAAACATGTCTTTGTTGTACACTTATCCTGCTTCCATTGGTTGGGGTATTCACTGTGACAGGTAACTTGTCTAACATTCATGTCTTAACTTGTCAACCAGGATGTCAGTTACCTATGTACACGTCTCTTTCTGCCAAGTCAGATGTCAGTTCCCAGGGAGGTCTTGGGAACTTAAGCTTTACTCAACCCCTACTCAATATGGAAGTCTTATTCCAAATAGTTTCTTATAGTGGTGTAGGTGTCGCTCTTAGGTTGGGGTCCATCCTGAAGGCAGCTTATAAAAGCAAATACCATAAAAGTTTATACACAAATGCAGGAAGTGGTGCTGGGCAGCTGGTTTGGGTCCAAGCTTATTGTGTGTAACTATACAAAAAGCAGTTTTACTGACTTCTATCATGATTGGTTTTCAAGGGCACAGGACATAACAGAATATGTAATCAACTAGGGCATGAGAAAGTTTCCTAGTAACAGCAGAAACAACATATGAGAAAGTTTCCTTATAATGGCAGGCTAGCCAGGTAAGAGTTATCTAGGTCTTAACATTTCATGTAGGCCTTAACATTTTACCTAGGCCTTAGCATTCCATCTATCTAGGTCTTAATATCTTACCTACACCTGAGCATGTTGATGCTGTCCATATCAGGAATGAAGAAACTTTTCTTTATATTGCCCTAGGGAGAGTCACATGACACCCAGATTAGCAGGGAGAGAGAACAGAAGGGGTATGAATTGGAAAGGTGACCCTGGGACAGTCATGTTTTCTGAGTCACCAGAGCCTAATTTCTCTAGCACTTTGTCTCCGGAATAAATACACCCAGACTCACCAAAACCACAACTATGCCCCAGACTGTATAGCTGGTGCCTATACTGGCTGCTCATTGGCTATAAATTACTCATAGACATTGATGGTCTATGCTGGCCTTCTTCCACGCTCATAGCATACAGTTCAGAGTGGGCTGCTGCTGGGTGGTTAAGTGGAAGATGAGAACAGGTCAGTTAGCGGGTGGGTGGGTTGGATGAATAGAGAGGTAGAGAGAAGGAAGGAAGGGATAAAGGGACAGAAGGATGGATGGATGGATGAATGGATGGATGGATGGGTGGGTGGATGGATGGATGGGAGATGGGTGAACAGATAAACAAAGAAGGTTGGATAGAGAGTTGAAAGGATGGATGGATGGATGGATGAGTAGAAAATAGATGGAAGATAGACAGTTGAACAGATAAGCAAGGGAAAGATGGATGACGTGATGGTTTGTATATTTGCTGAGCCTAGGGAGTGCCAGTATTAGAAGATGTGGCCTTGTTGGAGTAGGTCTGTCACTGTAGTTTTAAGACCCTCAAGCTAGTTGCCTGGAAGTCAGTCTTCCACTAGCATCCTTCAGATGAAGATGTAGAACTCTCAGCTCTTCCTGCACCATGCCTGCCTGGATGCTGCCATGTTCCCGCCTTGATGATAATGGACTGAACCTCTGAACCTGTAAGCCAGCCCCAATTAGACATTGTCCTTATGAGAGTTGCCTTGGTCATGGTGTCTGTTCACAGCAGTAAAACCCTAAGACTTATGGGTAGAAATAGATGGAGCAACAAAAAGGTAGAGTCAGAGATGAAGAAATAGATGAACAGCTAAACAAGGGGAAGGTGCGTGAGTAGAAAGAGATGAGCAAGAGATGGACAGAGGCAAAGATGGAGCATGGACAGATGGACAGATACCCGAGGGACAAAGGCCGGGATGACGGGAGGAAGGTGTGGGAGAGAGCGGCTAAAGGCTGCTGAGGCCTTTAGGTTTGTTGCAGCCCATGATGAAAGCAGCTGAGGAACAGAGAGAGCATGGAGCTGCCTGTGCCTGCCCTGTCCCTTCCTATATACCCTATCGTAAGTGCCTCTTCCTATATGATAGTGAATGTAGTCATGAAATATTGAGGCCACCTCCTTCTCTTTTCTGGATAGAGAATGTGGCAAGGAAGGAAGAGACCTCTGCCAGGGAGTCCTGTATGTGTGCATTGGGAAGGTGTGGTACCCTGGGCCTAGGTTTGGACACAACCTCCCTGAGAGAGTTGTCTCTCTTTTTTTTTTTTTTAAGATTCATTTATTTTATGTATATGAGTACACTGTTGCTGTCTTCAGACACACCAGAAGAGGGCACTGGATGTTATTACAGATGGTTGTGAGCCACCATGTGGTTGCTGGGAATTGAACTCAGGACCTCTGGAAGAGCAGGCAGTGCTCTTAACTGCTGAGCCATCTCTCCAGCCCAGAGTCTTGACTCTCTCAGTAGGCAGTGAATCTTAAGTCTGCAAGAACAACAGAAAAAGACCAAGGGGTGTCTGATGGGCCACAGCCTGCCGTGGGCTAGGTAGCCACAGCCTGCCGTGGGCTAGGTAGCTATTACTGGTATCCAGGCCACCTTTAGATCTCCTTCACCTGGTTATCACAGCCCATGACTGGGGCTATCATGGAGGGCTCTTGGGAGAATATGGCTTTCTGAGTCACCACAGAGGGCCTGGACACATTCTACTAACCTTGCTTAACCACGAGTTTTACACAACCCGAGAGGCCATACCACCCAGGCCTCAGGACCTATGGAACAAAGGGACCTTGCAAACTCTTTCCTGCTGGACATAGTGACACATGACCATAACCCCAACATTTGGGAGTTGGAGGCAGAAGGATCAGAAGTTCATTGCTACATGGCCAACATGAGGCCAGCCTGGGCTACTTGAGATGCTGTCTCAAAAGAGAAATTCTGCCTCAGCTTCCTGCATGTTGGAAGTACAGACGTTAACTACCATATCCAGCACACAACGAGTTTTAAGTGTTTCTTTCTTTTTAGAAATCTTTTAAAATGTATTTTATGTGTATGTGTGTGATTGTTCTTAGGTGCACCACGAGCATACAAGTACCTGCAGAGGTCAGAAGAGAGCATGACGTCACCTAAACTGGAATTACCAATGGTTGTGAGCCACCCAACACAGGTGCTGGGAACCAAATCTGGGTCCTCAGCAAGAGCAGGACATGCTCATAATCGCTGAACAATCTCTCCAGCCCCCAACGTTTCTAATCCTGGGTTTCAACTTCCTTCCTTCCTCTTCCTGCCCACGTCTTCCCCTGGGTGCCTCGGAATCCACTTCTCTTACATGATCATAGCTCCCAGAGGAATGACTTGTAGCCAGTGGCTGTAAGCCAGTGTGATGGTTTGTATATGCTTGGCCCAGGAAGTCCCACTGTTTGGAGGTGTGGCCTTCTTGGAGTAGGTGTGTCACTGTGGGCATAGGTTTTGAGACCCTACTCCTAGCTGCCTAGAAGCCAGTCTTCCACTAGCAGCCTTCAGATGAAGATGTAGAACTCTCAGCTCCTCCTGTACCATGCCTGCCTGGATGCTGCCATGTTCCCACCTTGATGATACTGGACTGAACCTCTGAACCTGTAAGCCAGCCCTCATTAAATGTTGTCCTTATGAGAGTTGCCTTGGTCATGGTGTCTGCTCATAGCAGTAAAACCCTAAAACTGCTAGACAACTTACAATAGATTGTCCCTCCTCTGCTTCACGGCCTAGACAAATCCTTTGGCCTGCCCCAGGGTTCACTTTCCTTACATGTTTACTTTTTTTTTTTTTTTTGGTTTTTCGAGACAGGGTTTCTCTGTTTAGCCCTGGCTGTCCTAGAACTCACTCTGTAGACCAGGCTGGCCCCGAACTCAGAAATCCACCTGCCTCTGCCTCCCAAGTGCTGGGATTAAAGGCGTGCGCCACCACCACCCAGCACCTTACATGTTTCCTTACAGTACAAACCATTCAGTACAGGCAGGAAGAAGACAGTCTCTAGTTCCTCACCATCCAGTGCTGGGGATAGAACCTAGTACCTCATGCATGCAGGGTAAGTGCTAAACCACTGAACTATATCCCCAGTCCCTGGGCTCCACCTTGTAAGGACAGAGTGCCAAAGATTTTGCAGACATGCTTTTTAAAAAAAATGTATACCGTGTACATGTGTGTATCCACCGTGTACATGTGTGTATCCACCCCCTCCACACCCCTGCAAAACATGTAAAAGCCAGAGAAGGTATTGAATTTCCTGCAACTGGAATTACAGGGAGTTGTGAACCACCCAACATGGTGCTGGGAAGCGAATGCAGGTCCTCTAGAGGAGCGGCAAGAGTTCTTAACCATTGAATCATCTCTCCGGCCCTGAGGAGGTTCACTTCCAAATCGTTATTCAGAGCCAGGAACCATGGCTGCAAACTGCACAGGCTGTCCTCAGATGGGCTATCCTGGAGGCCAAAGTGGAGCTAGCTAAGCCGTCTGAAAGGGGCCTTCTTGGCAAGCAGCAAGCAAGAGTATGTTTCAGAGTCGGCATCTGGGAGCCAGGGGAGTGAGTGGGTCACTGTAGTTCTGGACACATACACACAGGAAAAGCCTGGCCAGGAACAGAAACATGGCTAGTGGGGTAGCAGCAGCTTGGGACAGGGCAGTAGAGATTTTACTGTGTAGCACCTGCTAGCTGCCAGACAGACGTCCTGGCTGTGGTCAGAAAGACCTTTTTTGTGGCTACACTTAGAGGTGGACCACGCCGGGCGATGGTGGCACATGTCTTTAATCCCAGCACTGGAGAGGCAGAGGCAGGTGGATTTCTGAGTTCGAGGCCAGCCTGGTGTACAAAGTGAGTTCCAGGATAGCCAGGGCTACACAGAGAAACCCTGTCTCTAAAAACAAAAAAAACAAAACAAAACAAAAAAAAAAAGGTAAACCACGCCCCTTTGTGCTTCCCACCCTACATGGCACAAAAGCCTGGTGGAGCAGACAGACCCCATATAAGGGAGAGAGAAGCTGACCTCCCCGCCCAGGGCTACCTCTAAGGCTGGGAGGGAAGCAGCAGAAGCTGTGGACACTGCCTAGGATCCCACGAAAGTTCACAGAACTCCTAGTTCCAAGACACGAAAACATCTTTCTTTAGCCTCCCCCCTCAGTCTCTGGAGCTGGCCAGGTCTCCCTTTAACCACATGTGATACTTATGGAGTGACATGCCCACTATGATAGTGACCAGTCTGAGTTCAGGACATAGCATCCTCCTTGCCAACTGCCCCTCCCTCCTCTCCTGCCTCCTGTAGTGCCAACTCCAACTAGTTTGACCGCACACGGTCTTCCTCGGGCCACTGCCCTCCAGGGCCTGTTGATGCTGACTGTGGGCTGGGAACAGCCTGCCCCTGGCATTACCAGACTGCCACTGTGCCAGTGTGAGCTTGGGGGATGGAGAGGGGGGGAGAAGGAATACAGAGTAGGACATATGGCCAGACACCTGAGAGGGACACCTATGACTTTCCAGTTCTGGGGAGTATCTGAAACAGGGCCCCAGCAGCTTATTTTTATTTATTTATTTATTTATTTATTTATTTATTTATTTATAGCTATTTATACCGAGTACCATCTTGAGTTTCTGGTATCCACTGACGCCTGAAGGCCAAGTTGGTTCTGAAGCAGGCCAAGGCAGCCTCTGATGAATCAAGACCTGACCCCAGGGGAATCATTGGAAATACAGGACTCCCACACACCCACGGCTGTAGCACGATTATTAAATTAATCCTCATCCTCTACTTCCTGGAACCAGAGCATCATGGGTAGCAGGACATCAGCAGAGTTGGATATTGTCTGCTCCCTGGATCCCAATCCAGCTCAAAGCGCACATGACCTGAAACAACAAAGGTGACAGGCAGGACTATCAAGCCAAAGCACCCTAGAACTCTGAGACACCATCCCCAAAGCTCTTAAGGCATGCCGAGGAGGCTGGCTGCAATGCACGCTGCCTCTCCTGCTCAGGGACTGGGAATCGGATTTGGCTGTACAGGAACGCTATGCTTCACTTCCCTCTTGGAAGCCTCGGGTGGGTACTCCCATCAAGGCACACCAGCCAGCCAAACCTGTCTGAGCCTCCTCTGAGGCTGCCCGCCAGGCTCAGAGAGCTCCTCCTGGTTCTCTGTTCTCTCCTAGCCCTGCAAAGCTAGCCCTCCAGCACTTCCCTGGCTCCTCAGGGTAGCTTGCTGTCTGAGAAGAGCTTTCTTACTGTGTAGCACAAGCCAGCCTCGAACTTGTGGATGATCCCCCTGCTCCAGCGTTCCGATGGAAGGTTCTGCTGGAGGTCCAGGCTCAGACCACTCATGTTTATACTTTACCACGTAAACTATAACCTCGGCCTCTTATTGGAATCTTTATACTTGATAAACACTTTACTTTGTGTGTTGGGGGTAGAGGGGAACAGCCAGCTACACCACAAGTGTGAAAGTCAGGGGACAAGAGGTGGCAATTGGTGCTCTCTTTTTATCACATGGGTGCCAAGAACTAGACTCAGGTGCCAGGTCTCTTTACCACTACTCCATCTATCCGGCCCTCCTTACAGGATTTCGTTGTCACTGAGTATTTTCCTCACTAGGTAACTCTGACGGCTATTCTTGATTGTCAACTTGACTACATCTGGAATGAACTAAAACCCTAAAATGGAGGGGCACGTCTGTGAGGGATTTTTTAGATCCCTATCAATTCTGTCCCTCTAGAGCAGTGGTTCTCAAACCTTCCTGATGCTGTGACCCTTCAATAGAGTGTTGTGGCCACCCCCTAACCATAAAATTAGTTCGTTCCAACTTCATACTGTAATTTTGCTGTTATAAATCATAACGCGAATATTTTTTTTTGAAGCTAGAGGTTGACAAAGAACTCACAACCCACAGGTTAGGAACTGCTGCTCTAGAGAACCCTGACAGATACAGTAGCCTCGACTAGCTTAGAACTCACTATTTAGACCAGGCTGGACTTGCAGTCATAAGAGATCTGCTTATTTCTGCCTCCTGAGTGCTGGGATTAAAGACGTGAGCTACCACATCACCACATCCAGCCTTACAGGATTAAAAATATGTTATTATATGTTTGTGTGTGTGTGTGTGTGTGTGTGTGTTGTTCCAGTGAGGTTCTTTTCGTGAGAATTAGGTAGAGTTCAAGGTTCTAGAGCTATGCAGGGTTAGGGAAAGGGCTTCCTTGAAGATGACAGCCTTCATACAGGAAAAGGCAGGACGGAGGCTGGCGTGTAAATGAGAGCTCAGGAGAGGGCAGGAAGATGAGTGGATGCAGTGATGCTGTTAGGCTCTCCTGTGTCCTTGGCATTGAGCAGGTGAGGTAGGGGCTGACTCACAGGGAGGTCAAAGGCCATGGCGCTCCTTTTTACCTATTGGTTCTGTTTCTACACTGAACCCCTCTTATGTAAAATCTCAGGAAAGACATTTGCAAACACGTCACTGTGGTCACTGTGGGCAGTAATAGCCCCCCACCCCCTATACAGCTCCTCCCCTGCCGCTCACCCTTTGGCTGGGATCCTCAGAGCTAAAACAGACCTCAGTACCCGTGGGGCAGAGTTTGAAAAGGTAGTATACTCCTGCTATAATCTTACCCTTGTAAAACATAAGAAAACAATAAAACAATACAGCCCCAGGATCTGGGTACACCTCTTTCTGGTCTCTTCCCAGCTAACAACCAAGGGCAAGCATTTGGACCCGCCTTGTCTTCTGCCTCAGATCATCAATGGCCTGTGGAAAGGGCTCTCGGAGAGCAGAATGCCGGGTTCAAGTGATTCCTTCCTACATAAGTGCCTGCCCCCCCACCAACTATGCAGACCAGCAGGCTCAGGGGTCACACTCAGCCACACAGGACAGATCTTGACCCACCCAGGGCAGCATGCAACCTCAGCTTAGCCTTCCCTCCCCACGTTTTATCCCCAAACCTAATTAAGTCCAGACACAATATCAGCCCTCCACAACTAGCCCACCCATGCTCTGCCTACAAGGTATCTAGAGGGCTGCCAACAGGATCCTGCTGGAATCCTACAGGGGCTGTCCCCGGGCCCCCCTTCCAATGGTTCTGAAACTCAGCTATGGAGTAGTCCATGTGTGTATATGAGGCTCCTGAACCCTTCTCCAGCATTCCTAGGGGCCGGAGCCCCAGACAACTACCGCCAGGAATGGCATCCACGTGAAGGCAGGCTCTCCCACGCTCCTACCTGTCCTCCTCTCTTTGGCTTCTTGATGCACGTTCTCTTAAAAACCAAACAAGGGCTGAAGAGACGAGGCTCTGCAAGTTCTGCTCTTGCCTGCCCAGCATGCATGAGAGCCCGAGTTCCACCTCCAGAGAAAGAGAAAGGAACCAGGCATTATAGTGTGTACCTGTAGCCTCTGCATTCAGGAGGCTGAGTCATGAAGGTGTTCTAGACCAACCTGGGCTACATATCAAGATCTGGTCTCAAAGCCATGGGCAGAAAGAGCTGTTCTTGTCTCATTGGTTGACCTCCCGTTTCTCAGAATCAGAAAGAGGTGGGGGTTGGGGGGGAGACAGGAGCTTTATCACCTAGCCCCCAGGGCATTCTTATGGCTAAGTCCCTGGATGAGGATTCTTGGGTTTAATGGCACAGGCCTCAGGAGGGATCCTACCATCACCCCAGTTCCAGTGTGTACCTCCTTCTCCCTCTTACCACCTGCCTTCAGAAGGCATCCAGATGACTGAAAGCCAGTGAAGTTCAAACCCAGGTCTCCAGACCCCTAGTTCAGGGCCCAGCAGCCACCACAAGCACTGGACTAGGGGTCAGCAGGCCTGGACTTGGGTGTCGGCTTCACGAAGGGTCCATTCAGTTCTAAAGGTAAACACCACCTCTCAAAAACACTGGGATTCCTGGCCTCAGATCTGCCCCTCCACCAGATCTGCCACCCCACAACTCCGAGCCCAGTCAGTTCAGAGAGGGTAGAGGTGAGAGCAGTGTGCAGGTAACCACCGGAAGCTGTTACTCCACTCTCAGCTTAAGAGAAAGTCCCGACCAGCAAAGGCCCCAGGAGTGATGGTTGTATCCATCCCTTGGACCTGTTTCAAGACTCCTAGCTGTTGTAGAAATTAGGGGCAAGGGGGAGGGGGCGTCGGGTTCTTACCCTACTTCAACTTTAGTGCTCTTCAAGCCTGGAGTACCTACACGATCCTTGTCCTGCACCTAGCTCACCCTGTCCCAAGGCCCAGAACTGCAACCGGATGCCCGCGCCCCTGGTCTGGCCTGCTGGCGGCTCCCAACCCTGTCCTGGAACCTCCCTTTCTCCATAACCTTCAGCGGCTCCCACGAACACATCGGGCTTGGCGGCACCCTTCCATCCACAGGCCCCATCCACAGGCCCCTTCTGTTTGAAAACGTTTCTGCGTCGTCGTTCAAACTCAAGTCCCTGCCTCTGTCTGGTTGCGTTCGCCTAAGGAGATGCAGGGCCTTGGAGGGCCCCTCCAAGTGGGCGGCCGTTCTCGAACTTTCACAGCTAGCTGAGTCCAAGATCGTAGTAGGCCTTGCGAGAGTCGCGGCGTTCCACGTGTGCACTCGCCACCGTGTCCTCCTGGCACAGGCAAGGACGATGAGGTTGAGCAGGAGAGTCGCATCCAAACACCGTGAGGGGCCCCAGGGTCGCAGCAGATCGAGCGCCGCCCTTCGGTCCATGCAGTTGGGAGGTTCCGGGCTCCAGGGTGCAGTGTGCCCACCGCTCTGCCCCTTTCCTGCGCCGCGCGGGCGGGCCCGAGAAGCACAGTCTTTGTCTACTGAGCCCCGAGGCGCCCCGCCCGCCGCGCTCGAGGCCACACCCTCCAGGCGCGACCAGCCAATGAGAACTGGCGGCGGCACCCGGAGCGCGGGGTGTGTCCGCATCTCGCTTACCGATTGGTTGCGCTCTGCCCCCCGCGGGTGACTGAGGCCGGCCCGGCGGTGCGCGGTGAGGCCCTGCAAACTGGACGCCAGGGGAGCGCTTTTCTAAGAGTCGCCACCCCGTCGCCACCCCGACCCAGCTGCGCGCCCGGAGGCCAGATAGCAGGAGTCACGACGGCCAGCCGCGGGCCCGAGGAGTAACAAGACTCAGCCGGCTTGCCGGGCCGGGCTATGGCGCTCGACTTCGTGGCTGGATGCGCCGGAGGTAAGGAGATGACCCGCATGCCAGGCGCAACCTGCCTGGTACACGGGGACATGGGTCTTCTTGACCCTTGCGTGCGCACTGGGTGCAAGGTCTGGGGGATCCCGGCAGCACCGCGGCTTGGCCAGAGGCAGGGAAAGAACGAGAGGATGCGTGCGCGCAGCCTACTTGATCCTTCTTCCCGCAGCTGTCCGAGCGAGGCTGGTGACACCGCGCGACCTCCTAGAGGGCTGGCCCGAACCCAGGCGCCCAGCGCTTCCAAGATGATGCTTTAAGCTGCTGAAGGGCTCAGGAGAGGAGGAGGCGGTCCACCGGGTGGTCAGATCGGTGGTCGTGTCAACCTGACTGGAGAGAGCTCTAAACTGAGGGCAGGCCAGGTCTGCCCATGGGGACCTGTTGACTGTTTAGTGCCTTTCCTTTTACCCAGAGGATTAGTTTTATTTAGTAAGTATTAAATAGAGAGCCTGGTTTAGCCATTGGGGTTCCAAGTAAATCGACTGAGATGGCAGTGGTCTGGCCGGTTATGTCAAGACTGAGTTCAGCTCTGAGGCCCAAACCTGGCTCCTCACCCACCTGTCCTGCTGTCTTCATCCACTTGCCTTCATAGCTCTACCCGGAAAGGTCTTGCCTGGAACAATGGTAGACTGGAGTTGGCCTTAGGTGTTTAATCCATGCTTGCTTCTTCCTGGGTGGAGAAGGCTGGACTGGCAGGATGCCTTCCCAGATCAGTGACGTGCCCCACGGTGCTTGAGAACCACCAAACTGTCACCAAGTCTTTCTTCTGTAAGCTGTGGGAAGGGGACAAAGCCCAGCGATTTCTATAAGCCTGTGAGGAATTAGAGACCCAGAAAGAGCCCCATCTTAGCCCACAGCTTTAACAGGACGAGCGAGGACCTCTTCTATGGCCAAGACCCCCTTGTACTGCAGTTTCCCCAGGGCCAGGGTTCCCTCCATTTGTAGCCTGCTGAGTATAGTTGACCTGGGGAGCATATATTCACCCCAAGGCTGGGCCTGCTTAGAGACTCTTGACCCCACCCCACCCCCCACTGTCCCACAAGCCCATAGGCATTTGCTCAAGTGTCCCTGCCTGGGATAGCCATCCGTCTTCATCCAGTCTGTCTAAGGGTGGTCATGCCCTGTCTCCAGCCCTGGCCTGCATTCTCATCGAGGGTGTGGAGAGAGTGCCCAAGTACATGAAGTAATGCAGGATGGGCCTGAGCTTTCAGCTGCATGGAGATGGAGGTCACCTACAGAGTGAGGTTCATCTAGTAAAAAAAAGAGATGGGGTGAGGGGTGGGAAACACACATTCAACCTCTCTGGAGGGGTAGGATGGCTGCGGGGCAGATATGATCTGATTGTGTCCCAGGCTTGCCTTCCAGGTTCCCGTCACTGGGGCTGGAGAGATGGCACAGCGGTTAAGAACACTGGCTGCTCTTCCTGAGGTCCTGAGTTCAATGCCCAGCACCCACGTGGTGGCTCACAGCAATCTATAAAGAGATCTGGTGTCCATCACTGCACAGCACTGCTCGGAGCCGGGTGTCAGACAATCTGGCTTTATGAATACCAGCCTGATTCCTTCTGGCTTTGGTCCTTTCTCTCTGAAGGACAGGGTGATGGTGGGGCCTCTTTCCAGAGGAAGAATGCACCATGGGTGTGCCTGACTGGCCCAGGACACATCCTGTCCTGCCTTTAAGCCCTCTGAGAGGCATGGACTTGACTGGTTTCTGGTAGTAACTCATCTCTCTCAGACCTGTGCTGCCAGCTCCTCTAGAACAGTGGTCCCTTCCTGTCTTTGAATAATCACAGTGTTAGAGCTGCCTGCCAGCTTGGGTACCCCTGTGGGGCTTCCCAACAGAAGGGGTGGGTCAGAGACTTCGTAGTCTCTGCAGTGTTTTGGAAGTGGCAAAGACTGTTGTTGCTGCCACCTGTGAGCAGCTGCCCGCAGCTGGGCTCTGTCCTCAATGGAAAAGGGAGGAAAGCTATCAGGGCATACCCAGATGGCCAGCATACCAGCCATGGGTGCTAGGCTTTCCAAAGCCCTAAGACTTAGGCAGATTAGCCTAAAAAAAGACGTTCCTCAAGTACAATTTGCAAATAACAGAAAAGGAGCTAAGCAAGGGGCTAGGCCACTCTGCTCTGTGAGGTCCTGGTTCTGCCCCAGCAGCCACTAACCAGGAAGTTAAAAAAACAGGTAAAAGTCAGTGGCTCTCTAAGAGAGGAACGAGGTCTCACTGCCAGAAATGGGTAAAGTTAGGAGGATATGCGGGACTCCAGGAGAAAGGGGGCCTGGAGATGGTGGCTAGTGTGAATAGATGACAGTGGAAATTTCCCCAGCTTGGAAGAGGGCATGAAACTGCAGCTCGAAGGCTGGTAGAGTGCCAAGCAGGGTTGCTTTAAAGAAACATCCACCCACTTTGCACCCCCTGGTGTCATTTCTAAAGTCCACACATAAAATCTCAGTCGTCCTGAGAGAACAGGAAGGAGAGGGTTAGCAGTAGGCTTCTTACCTGCAGCACTGGATATAGCCCAGCAGACGCCCAGCTGAGACGAGCCATGGGAAAGAGGCAGTGAAGGAGCTGTGGTGGGTGAGGGGTCAGGAGCAGCTCACCCTTTGCCTGTGTAAAGATGGAAAGTGTTACTAGAAAGTGTTTTACTGAATTAAAAGTGCAGAACAGTGAAAGGGCAGAGTGAATGGAAACAGGAGTCGGTCGCATGCCACGGGGACGCTACAGAGACAGGCTGAAGCCTGTCCAGTCTATACAGGGAGATCCAGGCTAGCCAGTGTGAGACCCCCACCTCAAAAAGAAAGAAAGAAATTAAAAGGGCAGATACACGGAGCAGGATGGACATCACAGAGGGAGGCTAGGCACAGCTTTGGAGCAGATGTTACCTAGTGTCCAGGCAGGATCTGTGGCCAGCCTTCACAGGGCCAGGGCAGTGAGTGGGCAGGAAACAACCCCAGGCCACAGCTGCAGCTCATTTCACCACTTTCTGGCCAAGCTCCAGGGATGTACTGCTGTGGGCTTCTCTGTCCTGCTTCGCTCATTTGTAGAATGAGTTAATCTGAGGATTAGGATCAGAATGAGAACAGTGATGTTCATTACCCAACATCAACTGTTGCAGTTAGACGTAAAGTACTAGCAACCAAAGGGGACTTCTTTCTTCCCGTATTGCTAAGGGAGGAACCTAGGACCTCAAGCACTGTGAGCAAGCAACCCACCTCTGCCCACAGGCCAGCCCCAAAGAGGCTCGTTAACCAGATGTTCCCAAGAAACGTAGCTGACTTCTGTTTCTCCTTCCGTGAAATGGGGTCATTGGGCTGCAGGGAGTAGTGTGGGGGTGAAGGGGAGTCACTAATGTTCACTACCCGTATGCACTCTGAGGAATGTTCTTACACCTTCCAGGAGGGGTGAACCTTGCTCTTGGGGGAGGGGTCTCTGGCAGGCCCTTAAATGATAAATAAACTGAGTATGACTCAGGGTAGTATGGCTCTTGGGAGGTGTCAGCCAGCAGGCAGTGGGTCCTCACACCACCCTGAAGAGAGAGGGAGAGGGGAAGGAGAGGGAGATAGAGACAGAGACAGAGAGAAAGAGAGAGAGGGAAGGAGATAGAGACAGAGACAGAGAGAGAGAGAGAGAGAGAGAGAGAGTAAGGCCAAGATGATGAGTCCCTTTTTGAGCATGCCCAGAAGATAAGTAATAGAAGGAAAATTTGTTTGTTTGTTTTTGTTTTTTCGAGACAGGGTTTCTCTGTGTAGTCCTGGCTGTCCTGGAACTCACTCTGTAGACCAGGCTGGCCTTGAACTCAGAAATCCACCTGCCTCTGCCTCCCAAGTGCTGGGATTAAAGGTGTGCGTGGAATTAAATCTCAGTGACGTGCTAACTTCTGACTCCAACATTCTCAAGAACCTCTTGTATCAGGCCTTGGACTAGAGCTGTACAGTTAGTTCCCTAGGGAACACATCACCTCAAGGAGCAGCAGGGAATGTGAAAGGACAAATGATTTGAGCTAATCCACTTGCTGGCTGTCTCTTGTTACCAGAGGGGACATTACAGGAATCCCTGGGATGAGCCCAGGGTCCCTCAGAGTCTCCTTCCTTTAGCCATAGGCAGCTGGCCTTCCTTGCCAGAACCTCATTCCCCCAGGATTCTGCAAAGTTCTGAGGCACTTGGTCACGGGTCCCTTTCTCTTCCAGGTGTGGCAGGTGTGATTGTGGGACACCCTTTTGACACAGTCAAGGTGAGTCTCTCAGGAGGCACAGACATGGGGACAGGCCTGCAGGGTTTCCGCCCCAGGAACACAGTAAAAGTCATCCCCGTTTTGAATGAAGGCAGGGCTGCATTAGCCACTGAATGAGCTACTTTACTTACCCTTCCTCCTGGAACTGCATCTTCCCAGAGGCTGAGCTGCATGTGGGGTCCACAGCCAAGCGTCTGTGTCACTTGACTGGCAGAGACTGAGGTAGTGATGGGCAGGTTTTCTTCTTGTCAGCCAGAGGGAGGAAGCTCACCCTTTTCTGATGTGTAGTTTCCCCTAGCATCTCCACTGACTTACTATATTACTTTATGTGTTTTGCCTGTGCGTCATGTGTGTGCCTGGTGGAAATGGAATTAC